AAAAAAAAAAAAAAAAAAAAAAAAAAAACAACAATATTCCACTTGAGCATGTGCATAAAAAATTGTCCTTTTCTCCATCTTCTCCTCTATTTCCTTTTAAAAAACCAATTCCACCAGTGCTGATAAAATGGCTTGGGTCTCTTCCAGCCTAACCAATGGTCTCGTGTTCGAGCCTTGGGAATGCAGCAGTGTTAAAACTCTTGAGGAAGAGCTTTATCGCCCTTGTGGTTCTACCCAGCTCGATTCCGGATTAGTCGGTTCCCCTGTGGATCCAGAAACCGGAAGGTCCCTGTACCAAAAAAAAACCAATTCCTCTTCTCGACCTACATAAATTCTGTTATAATTGTGAGGGTATTAAATATTGGAGGCGGTGGGATATTAGTTGTATGAAGATGGCCAACCAATTAATTTGTAAGGTGGTTGGGTGTTGACTTATTAAATGTCCTACAACCAAATTTATTAATCTCTTAACCACTATATTTCAACCACTATATGCCAATCTATCCATCCATTTGACTTTAATTGGCCAATCAATTTTGCTGAAGGTGTATGAAGAATTCTGCTAATTGCTCAATCTATAAATAGATGACCTTACAAAGGAAGGAGTGGCGAGATAAGAGAAAAAGAGAAGGAAGAAATAAAGAGGAGAAAAGAAAAACAGAAATATTTATTTGTTATAAAAATAACAAAAAGAGAGATATTTTATTTATATTTTAAGTGCTCAACTCTCGACTCCATTACAGTTCGCCGGAGCTCGTAAATCTGGTGTGCTACAGATTTAGAGACGTTTGCCGTTGTATCTTTGGGGAAGTTACGCCTTAACCGTTAGCAGCCACACGGGGCGTATTCTTCTTGCGGAAAGAGTTTTACTCGCCTCGGCTAAAATCTTTTCGTTTTCAGTTGTAATTTATTTTTCAGTTCAATTGTAATTTTCTATTTTTAGATTATTTGTAAGAACTGAAAATACATATCAGTTCGTAGGATTCCCGTGTAATTTTTACACTATAGATCCAACAATCGCAAGAAGAATATCAGTCATCCTACTGAACTGATGGCATCCACCGGAGCAGGTTCCAGCTCTCAGCATCCGATCAATCATGTACCTGCTGTCCATGTTCCTACAGCTGAAAAGCCCGAAAAATTCAACGGGCTTGACTTTAAGAGGTGGCAACAAAAGATGCATTTTTACCAGACTACTTTGGGTTTGGTGAAATACCTGAAGGACGACCCTCCGGGCATTTCTGAGAATGAGACCAATGCAGAACTACGCGTTGCGTACGATGCTTGGGGGCAAGGTGACTACCTTTGCCGTAACTATGTCCTGAACGGGCTTAGTAACGAGTTGTACAACCTGTACAGCTCTGTTGGTTCTGCCAAGGAGCTTTGGGATGCCCTGGAGAAGAAGTACAAGACGGAGGATGCCGGGGCGAAGAAATTCGTCGTCGGCAAATTTCTTGACTTCAAGATGGTTGACACGAAGACCGTCGTGTCACAAGTGCAAGAGTTCCAGCTGATCTTGCACGATATCCATTCTGAAGGGATGCCTTTGAGTGAGTCATTCCAAGTAGCGGCTGTGATCGAGAAGCTGCCGCCAGGCTGGAAGGACTTCAAGAACTATCTCAAACACAAAAGAAAGGAGATGAGTCTTGAAGACCTGGTTGTTCGTCTTCGTATTGAGGAGGACAACCGTAATTCGTCGGGCAAAAGCCCGATAATGGAGGCTCGTGCGAACTTGTTGGAGCAAGGAAATTCGAGCAAAAGGAAGCCCCTTAACAAAGGGAAGCAGCCCGCCAAGGTTTGGAAATTCACTGGATCTTGTTACAACTGTGGAAAGCCAAACCATATGGCGAAAGACTGCAAGAGGCCAAAGAAATCTGGGCCAAATAAAAGGCAACCGAGTGCCCTTGTTGCTGAACACGGCCCTGTGCCGGGTGAATTGACCGATTTTGATATGTCGGCAGTGGTGTTTGAAGCCAATTTGGTGGATAACCCAAGGGAGTGGTACATCGATACTGGTGCCACTCGTCATGTGTGTTCCGACAAGGAGGTGTTCTC